TGCAGGGGGGCGGCCTGGGCCTGTCTGCAGGGAGGGGCTGCGCTGCAAGTTGCTGTAGCCCCCCTTGCGTGGGGGAGGCTCGCCAGCGAGGGGGCAGAGGGTACCCCCTGACTTGGAGCAGTTCCCACTGGAGACAGACTTGGCAGTGCAGTCCAATGGCTCACAGCACCTGCTCATAGTGCCACAAGCCCCCCTGCAGCCACCCAGCTGCCTGCAGGAGGAGGGAGGGAGGAAGGGGAGATGGGATGCTCACGAGGGCCCAGCCTAGCCTGGGAAGCCAGGAATCGCTGCTTCCCCAGGCGGAGCAGGCCGGGGCAGCGCTCCCTTTGCAGAGCGGCAGGGGCTGGTTTCGTGTCCGAGGAGTTATGACCCCATTGACACTCCCCCCTCCCCTGGCAAGTCTGGCAGCATTTCCTCCTGTTAATCCAAGGGGCTGCAGACAGAAGGGTTAATAGGCTAGCCATGCAGAGCCCTGCTCCAACATAGGTAGTTCCTCCCATGGATGTAGCAGCGTTCCCTGGCATCTGCCTATGCCTAGCACGGACCGGCAGGACCACAGCCTGGCCTCTGTTCAGCTGTATGCACAGCACAGCCTGGCACGTACGCAGCATTTCCTCCTGTTAATCCAAGGGGCTGCAGACAGAAGGGTTAATAGGCTAGCCATGCAGAGCCCTGCTCCAACATAGGTAGTTCCTCCCATGGATGTAGCAGCGTTCCCTGGCATCTGCCTATGCCTAGCACGGACCGGCAGGACCACAGCCTGGCCTCTGTTCAGCTGTATGCACAGCACAGCCTGGCACGTACACCTGGTGGGGGTGCCTGAACGCCTCGCGATCGACTGGTCGAGGCCTCGCGATGGACCAGTCGATCACGACGGGTTGGTGATCATGGCTCTCCAGCCTCCTGCGGGTGCAAGAATGTTTCTAACTTGGCCCTCTGGGGTCCCTGCTAGCAACCCCCTCCCCAGCAATATGCGAGCACTGCACGGTCCAGCCGCTCAGCCCCGGGGGCTCCAGCTTCCCTACCAGATGCCCTGGCGTTGGCAGCCCTAGGAAATAGCAATGGATCTTGAGCCTGGAAGTGAACGGGAAGGGGAGCCAGTGGGCGATGGAGCAGGGCCGGATCTCCAATACATGCCAGCCCGTGTCAAATGCAGCTCGGTGCTGCTGGGTCCCTGCTCCAAAGTCCAGCAATGCCATTGGAAAGGCATCTGGAGGCTGGATCAGTAGGGAGGGAAAGTCACCGCTAGTCTGCCTCCAGCCCGGTGGGGGGTGGCTGGTCCAGTCTCACTTCCTGTCCTTCCTCTTGGCTGTCCCTTGATCCTTTATAGCCCCAGGAGCTGCCCCACCTTAACTAGCCACACTGGGAGCACCTGTCCTGGTAGGGGGCACAGGACCTGTTTCCTTAAAGGGGCCACCCCGCTAGTGACACAGATGCTCAGGAGGCAGGTCCCCTTGCTCCCATTTCTCCCTGAGACTGGCTTCAATTTATGTTTTTACATCGTTTTTTTCTGGAGTCGGAGACTCGAGGCGGATCATGCGTTTGAGATTTTCTCCACAAGCGCAGGGACTAGGGGCTAGGAAATTCCCTCGTCATCCCAGGACTCCAGGAGCTGGGACCATTTAAAAAAAACCCTACCCCATATTGCCAGGCTTGCCACAGAGCCACAAAGGTTGGAGACACTACTCTGCTGCACCCGGCGCCTCAGTTTACCCTCCTGTCCTTAGCCCCTCTTGTCTAATTGACATTATAAAAGCTCTTCATGGCAGCTCCTGGCTCTGTGTACGTACAGCACCTAGCACAATAGGCCCAGAGCTGGGTGTTACTGTAATTTAAATACTAATCTCCTGCTGTCTGGGGTGGGGGAGTTTGGGGAAGATGAAGGAGATGAAACCTGCAGCTCGGCTGTCCCTTTCAGACGGGAATCCTTCCCCGACACCCTCTTTTCCGTCCTTGTTTCATGCTCCGGGGATGTTGGCACAGCGCAGCTGGGAAAGTATGAAGATCCTGTGGCTGGCGGCAGTGGTGTGGTCTGTCCTAGCACCTCCTGCGCAGGCCAGCAAGGTGAGGGGCGGAGAGTGGGGAACAGCTACTGATGCACTGACCAGCCTCAGGTGCCATTTGCGACTGAGACAGGGTCAACGGGGAGTTTGGGCAGGAAAAGTAGCTGCTTGTTTATGGGAGTTTGCCGACGTGGTGGATATTAGTAACAAAAAATTGGCTTGTGTGTGTTGGGGGGTGTATGGCATTGCCTTTTTCTAGATGGAATTGGAACTGCTTACCTTTGTGTCATAGGCCCTATACTACAAACAGCTGGTGGAGATTCTCCTTCAGCCTGTGCTTTTAGAGCTGGAGGATCTAAGTTCTAGCCCTGCTGCCACTGTGAAGCTCTGAACGGCCATGGTAGCGGGCAATTCAGTCCCTAGAACAGTCTGTTTAGAAAGCATCTGACTGAAAAGTGGCTAAGGGATTGTTGCTGTGAAAAAGGCAGAGCAGGAAGGAGAGACCTGAAGTCAAGTCGTCCCCTTTTGGGGAACATCTTGCCCATGCCATGGGGGGGGGGAGGGAAGCTCCCCGAAGAGCGGCTCACGTGCCAACTCCTCTCCCCCCGCAGAGCTGGGAGGACATCCGCTGCAAGTGCATCTGCCCCCCCTACCGGAACATCAGTGGGCGCATTTACAACAAGAATGTGTCCCAGAAAGACTGGTGAGTTGCTCTCCCGTGGGGTTCCCCTGGCAAAGCATTGATGGGCTTGAACCTGGAAGCTGGGTCTGGAGTGGGCGCCCCTCAGGTTTCCGGGTTCCCTCACGGCACGTGTTTTCTAGACCTTTAATCATGTGTGTTGCTCTTCTCTCGACCCTCTCCAATTTCCCCACGTCTTTCTGGAAATGTGGCCCCCAGAACAGGACACAAGACTCCAACTGAGGCCTAATGAGCGCAGAGGAGAACGGCAGCATGACAGCTCATGTCTTGCTCACAACTCCTGTTAAGTTGCAATCTGGGTCGAACAAAGAGCCTTGAGTTTCAGAGAGCAGGCTGTGCCTCATCCAGTGACCTCCTTGTGCTCGTACTCAGGCTGGGTTACACAACAGTGTATGTTCCAGCCTCCTCCAGCCCACAGGGTGAGTATCGAGGCACCCAGAGCTTCAGGCTCCTGCATGAGCTGATCTGAGCTCTCTCCCAGCTGCAGTAAGCACAGAGGAGGCTCGATGCCGAGGCTGCCGAATGCAGACAGAACTGATGGTTCTCGCTGGTTCTCCAGCCAGCTATTGGCACTGCCTAGCCTCACCACTAGGTTTCTCCACAACTGCTGACCATGCTTTGGGCCCCAGGTCACAGGCGCCTGTCAGCTCAGCCACCAGCCCCATCCCACCGCTGACACCAGCTCTTTTGGGTTGCAGCAACTGCCTGCATGTGGTGGAGCCGATGCCCGTGCCGGGGAACGACGTGGAAGCCTACTGCCTGCTGTGTGAGTGCAAGTATGAGGAGCGCAGCACGACCACCATCAAGGTACAGACGGGCCGCTCCCGCCCTGTGCCATGCGTCCCTGGGCAGAACCACAGGGGCTGGGCATGGGACTAAGGAGAGCGTGTGAGGTCCCAATGCCTGTTCTCCATGCCACAGGGGAGGAAGGGATCCACGTGTGGATTCTTCCTTGTCAGGCTGCTTGGGGAGGGGCATAGAAAAGACTTTTATACCCCTCCCCTTTTACACACCCCTTCCCCTCATTGGCTGTGGTCTGGGGGTGGGGAGACAGGCCCCGCCCCTCCTATCACCAGCTCCCTGCCTGACAC